AGAATAAATTCACACGAAGGCATAAGGTATATGAATCCCGAAGGTTACTTGCTAGGCCCATACGGAGAATAAATTCACACGAAGGCGTCGCTTTCACCCCCACTTAAATAGGGTTCGGAGCTCGGGTATAGAGCCTTTAGATGAAAAATCTTTAAGGGCTGAAATCATTAAAAAAACGATTAATCCAACTATTTACTCGAAAATAATCAAAAGTAAGTAAAAAGGATCGAAATATTACCTTAAAATTTAAACTTACCCTTTTCGTTAAAAAGACAATTGAAAATTACCTTAGCCTGACTCATTTACCGTCCCCAGCGGAGTCGCCAAGCTGTCGCAACCGTCTTTCGGTTGGTTCCCGGAATTGGGCTTCGACTTGAAAAATGTGGATTGGAGTCGCCACCGATCATTTATTTAAAGATAAATGGGTTGATCGGATACCCTATTTCTTACCTGATCTGCGTCTTACCAGAAATATGTCGGGCTCGGGAGTCGGTTACGGTCAAGGAAGGATTAGCACCCTTGAACCGCCCTTTCGGTACTACGTAATTTCCAGTTGTCTTAATTAAGAAAAATAACAAGTTAAATTAAAAGATAAAATAATGATCCAAAATTACTTACCTTTGACGGATTTACAAATATACCCTTTAAAAGTCAAAATATGGGTTAGAAGAGATGAATAAATGATAAATAAAGTAAAACAAATAAAATAAGGAGATTAAGTAAGAAATAAAGTAAATATAAAATGAATAGAATATATAAAAAAAAACAATAACACTAATATGCACAACAAACAACTAAAAAATAAAATGATAATGCAAATAAATAAATAAAACAAGTAAAATAATATAAAAACATATAATATAGGATAAATATAAAAATAGATAAATAAATGAGTAAAATATATAAAAAAGTAAAAGCATATATATATATAGTAAAATAATAATAAAAAAAAGAAAATCAAAATAATATACGTATATACATGCAAAATAGGAAATATATATATATATATAATAACACTAATAAAAAAACATATATACATATATAATAAAATTAATAGAAAGTAATATGCATATATAACAAGAATAATAAAGTAGGAAAAAAATGATTTAGGGGGGAGAATTAAATATTTTAAAAAAATGAACACGCCTTGGGGGTGGATCTAGGTTCGAAACTTCGAAATCCCACCATTTTTTAGTCATCGGCGCAACCCACGTTTTGGGTTATTCGAACCAAATCTCAAGAAAAATAACGTGCACATGCGAGAAATGAACGAACCAATGTAAAAAAAGATGCTACCTTTTATTTCCTTTTCGAATCGTTTACAACAACTTTGCCTTTGTATTTTCCGTGCTTTCCTATGTGTTTTGTGTGTAAATCGTTGTGTGTTACAATAGTGAGTTACAATGGCTATTTATAGTGCTTGTGGATCCTATCTTTAGGAATTTAAATAATAGTAGAACTCTATCCTATTTTTTGAATCCTAGCAAAATTCTATCCTATCTTTAGGAGTTTGAATCCTAAAAGGACGAAAATGTGTGTTGACAGCAGCCAATAGATCTTCTTTATAACTAGCCTCCACATCTTGAACCCAGCTAGGAATGATTATAGTTGTACCCATAACAAAACACTGACCTTGATCCTCCCATTGCCTAGATAAAGCGTCTGCCACCACATTGGATCTTCCCTTTCTATACTGAATAGTATAATCCAAACCCAAAAGCTTAGTCAGGCCCTTCTTTTGAATTGTAGTAGTCAACTTCTGTTCCAAGAGATACTTTAGAGGTTCATGGTCAGTTTTAATGACAAAAGGATTTCTCTCTAAATAATGTCTCTATTTAGAAACTGTCAGAAGAATGGCAAGATACTCCTTTTCATAAATAGAGAGGCTAGAATTTCTAGGACTAAGAGCCTTGCTCAAATAAGCAATAGGTCTGCCATTTTGAGATAGGACAGCCCCTATACCTCCTGAACTTGCATTTGTTTCCAAGCAAAAATTTTTTGAAAAATCCGAGAGAGCTAAAACTGGAGCACTACTCATAGCTCTTTTAAGTTCTTCAAAGGCAGTCAAAGCTGCATTAGTCCACTTAAAATTGTTTGTTTTAAGCATTTGTGTCAGTGGCTTGCTGATAGCACCATAGTCTTTAATAAATCTCCTATAATAGCCTGTTAATCCCAAAAATCCCCTCAAAGATTTCAAGGATTTAGGAAGAGGCCAATTCTTCATTGCTTCAACTTTACTAGGATCAGTAGCAACACCTGCAGCTGATATAATATGTCCCAATTACTCCATTTGGTTTTGTCCAAAAAAACATTTGGACAACTTTGCAAATAATTGATTAGCCTGTAACACCTCTAAAACTTTCTGTAAATGAGCAATATGAGCTGCCATAGAACTGCTGTAGACTAAAATGTCATCAAAAAACACCAACACAAATTTTCTAAGGAATGAACTAAATAATTCATTCATTAATGCCTGAAAAGTAGCTGGGGCATTAGTAAGGCCAAAAGGCATTACCTTAAATTCATAGTGGCCTTGATGAGTTCTGAATGCAGTTTTGTGAATATCTGCATTTTTAATTCTGATTTGCCAATACCTTGATTTGAGGTCAATCTTTGAAAAGTAAACAGCACCATGTAATTCATCTAATAGATCCTCCACAACAGGAATAGGAAATTTATCCTTAATAGTCATGCTGTTTAGTTGTCTATAATCCACATAGAACCTCCAAGATCCATCTTTCTTCTTAATTAATAGGCATGGAGATGCAAATGGGCTCCTACTAGGCTGAATAATAGAGGAAGACAACATATTAGCAATTTGCCTTTCCACCTCTGCCTTTTGGTTATGTGGAAATCTGTAGGGCCTAAGATTGACAGGAATTGAATCAGGCTTAAGAGGAATACCATGGTCATGGTTTCTCTCTGGTGGAAGGCCTTTTGACTCCTCAAAAATATCCTTGTATTTTTCTAAGAGAGGCTGAATAGCTGCAAGGATAGATTTAGAGTCTTCTGTCATATATAATAACACCACATGTCCCAAAATAACAGATTCTGAAGTTGTCATTTTCAATAAAGAAGCCCCTGAAATTTGATGCAAAATTTGAGATGGTTGTTGACCATGTATAACAATTTGTGCATCCTGATGAACAAAACTGAGAGTCATTTTGTTGAAGTCCATCAAGATTGGACTGAATAGTTTCATCCAATCTACTCCCAACACCATATCACTCCCTCCCAATTGTAAAAGTCTGAAATCATGAACAAAAGAATGTCCTTGCATTTGCCATTCAACCATATTACACCTTGTTGAACTATAAAGTTGTTGACCATTAGCCACTGTAATAGCCAAAGGGTAAGGTGTATTCACCTGTATACCAGCCTCAGCCCACTGTGGTGTTAAAAAACTGTGGGTACTACCACTGTCAATTAGAATATTCAATGGTTGACCATGTATACTGCCTTGAATTCTTAGTGTGTTATGACCAATACACCCAGTGATAGCATTCATAGATATTTCTAGGTTCTCTTCTTCTTGTATGACTGGTTGTTCTGAATCAGTAGGCAGAGTATCTGAAGTAAGAACAGTCTCCTCTTCAATCATCATGTTCAATTGTTTTGTTTTACACTGGTGGCCTGGAACAAATTTCTCCCCACACTTAAAGCACAGATTATTTTGCCTTCTGTACTCTATTAAATTCTGTTTTGGTGGCACAGTTTGTGAACTCTTTTGTGGAAGTGGTAACTGAGTTGGTTTAGAAATAGGTAGGGAATTTGGGTAGGGTGGGTTTCTAAAAGCTGGCTTCAGTCTTTTACTTTCAAATTCAACAGACAATTCATACAGTTTAGCTTGCCTGTATGCTTCAGACAATGTCTTAGGGTTTAGGGCTTTGACGCTATGTTTAATATCATCTCTTAATCCACTAATAAACAGAGAGACAAAAAAATCCTCACACAGAGTAGGATTCTGTAACAACATATAAGGCTGTAGCTCTTCAAATCTGTCTTGATACTCCTCAACAGACCCTTTCTGTACCAGCTTAGTGAACTCTTCCACTATATCAGCAAATGCCTTATCACAGAACCTATGACATAGGTCTGCCTCAAACTCATGCCATGTAACATGATGTTTTTGCATAATGTAGCCAGCAAACCAAATTTCTGCTTTTCCTGTTAAGTACATTGTAGCTACTTCCACTCTTTGCTCCACAGCAATACTACATAATGAAAAGTACTTAAGGCATTTATGTATCCAACCTCTTGGATTACTACCTTCAAAAAAAGGTAGCTCGATTTTGGGCTTATGCAACATAATCCCTGAAGTATTGTAAGACCCCCCTGTGCCTCTTCTATCCACCTCTAAGCCCACTGTATTGTTCTTAACAGCACTGTTCTCCCCCACTTGATTATCATTTTTAAAGCTAGTTATATGAGCAGGCAACTCATTTGGCTTAGATTTTAAAATTCCAGGCTCATCAGGTTTATAAGTAAACCTATTTTTGTCATTAACCACTGTAACCTGTACAGTATGCTTGCCACTCATGTTAGATGAATTAGGGGTCTGTACCTGTTCCTCATCAGGCTGATTTTGATCTCCTTTTCGACCAGTCAAAATCCTCAAAAGTTCTTCGACGGACCCTTGATTTGTAGTCATTCTAGACTCCAAAACAGTGATGCGCTCCTCTTGTTTCTCCTACCATTTAGGGATCTTGGTTTCATCCTGAGACTGCTTAACCAAAGCAGTCAAATCTTCCAACTGTTTCTGTAGTGCTGCAAAATCTGGGGATTCAGTCATTGTCTGGTTTTTCTTTGGCATTACAGCTTCAATGGCCAGGAAAATGCAGGCTCTCGATACCAATTTGTTATGGATTGGGTAAAAGGAAGAAGAAATTATCGAAGGAATAGGGTTTAGGAACAGAAAGAAAAGAGATTACAGAAAACGTTTCTCATTCATTCCTTTCATAACCATCATTTCCATTACATTGCTGTTTTATTTACATACATAATAGAAAATCTGTTATGCTAGCTGGCCTATCCTTGCTAACCAATTTTGTTATCTCCACAGGATTTGGGCTTTACTGGGCCACCCATGCTTCATCTGTATCTATTGGACCAAGCATATTGATCTGCTGGTTTGGTGCTTTAATATTTCCCGTGCGCCTCACGTGCTCCCCTCTCAGGTAAGTATTTCCCAATTCGATCTCAATCCCTACCCTTGTTTCTTCATTTCCCCCAATTCTCCCAATTCTTCTTCGATACCCTTCTCTCTTCCTTCGTCTTCTCCCTCTCGCCTCCCTTCTCCAACTGTGACAAACTCCAGGAAGAATGCACTCTAAGTATGATTTTTTTTCTTTATTTTCTTAGATCTTGGGCAATGTGCCACTCGTAGAAATAAACCAACAATAGCATATATTTGCGTTCATACATATCTTTTTATCACAGGGGTGGATTGCTTGAACTAAAGTGTGGACCAGAACTACCCATCGAAGAAAAGTACGTTCTGAATCCATCTTTCATCCCTGCATCGAATCACAGTTGACCATGGATGTCTTGAATTTCTTTATCATCTCGCATACATTTTCAGTTGGAGTTTGTGTAGAAAGGTTTTATGTTTTCTCAGATGGCCATTGATCTTCATTCTTCAAATGATAATGCACCTGAGAGCTACCCTTATATGTTCCCCTAACTTAAATGAAGATGTTTAAAGTTTTCTTTGTCAAATACATATTTTAAAAACTTTTCCAGTTCTAAGTCAATATAATAGTTCAGGTACAATGATCTTAAGTTTATATTTTTCTTTTCATAGAGTGGCTGTTTTCAAGATGCTAGTGTTTTTGTGCCTAAAATAGCATCATACAACCGAATCTGACATGCATATTTTCTGTTGACCTATTGGACCCTAATTGTTATGTATTATGCAGATACAAACATTGGGGACGAGCTTCTCCATGGTTAATGAGTGGCAATCCCAGGGATCTTATCATGCCTATTGACGGTGATGATGGTTTCTTTCCCACCTCTGGAAATGAGATGGTAGGCTTAAGTATTGATGTTGGTTTGTTAGCTTTGAACAATTTGATCAATTATTATCTTCTATCTTCAACTGCTGTGCAGAAACCAGAAGTTGTTAATTCCAGTCGGAAATACCGGTTAAGGGTGCTGGTATGTGCACCGTCGAATTCTGCTCTTGATGAGATTATTTTTCGCCTTTTAAAAACTGGTATGACTTTTGCTCACTCTCTTTTACTTCTTTAGAGAAAAATAGCTGCTATAAGTCATAGATTGTACTAGTAAACCATTTTTCAACATTCTTCAGTGGTTCCTTTTTTATATTCTATTGTACTAGACTTAATCATCAAATTTCTGTGGAATGGATATTGTAGTTTAAAGCATATTATTGTTCTTGAAACAGGGACACCAGAAGGTTATTTATTACTGTTTTTCTTTAACAACTTAATCCAGCATTTATCTTGATTTTTGTCCCTCTCTAGTAAACTTGATTATATATATATATATATATTATTGCATGTTCAATCTTTTTCTCTATATTAAGTTCTTCTAACTAAAATGAAAAGGTGACAAGACTGAAGAAGCATTCATCTGAAAGTAGTAAATGAAACCAGTTATATTGGCTGTGTTTTGATATCATTGTAAAAGCTTGAAAGTGCTTGACTAGGTACTTAATGTTGTAAATTATTTTGGAGGGTGGAGATTATTGTTGGTTAAAAAGTTGTCTGAAATGTTTTCAAGTCTACGTGCTTTTATCTGGCCATCATTTTTTGATATAATTATACATTATATTTTTCTATTTCATACAGGTGTTCGTGACGAAAATGTCCGTGCATATACTCCTAAAATTGTTCGCATTGGTCTTAAACCGCATCATTCCGTAGAGGCAGTCTCTCAAAGATGCTGTGAATACTTGGTACTATTTTCTTCATCTAACAGTTCCTTGAAAGGATGTAACTATCAAGTAAGTATAACCTGAAATTTGTAATTTATCATCATTTTACTTGAGCATATTTAAAAAACAATGAAATTATTAGGTGGTTGAGTTGAGTGTTACAGTGGAAATGGTGTGGTATAAAATCATTAAAATAGTAGTGCTGGTGAATAGTGATGTTGGTAATAACCTGCCTTTAAAGATGAGGGTAGAAATTTTTTTGGTCGGTGTAATGGTAAAATAGACTGGTGCTCTAGATTCTGCTGTTCTCCATAGTGGCAATTTTTGTGATTGTGATGATCATATAGGAATAGAACATGTTCGGATCATATGGAAACATTGATGTAGAAATGCCCATAATTTCTGAATGACAGATTCTATGTCGATTTTCAACTTGCAAGATACATTTCTAGTTTGCACGCAAGCAAATTTGATATGACTAAAATAAAGAAAATAGACATTTAAAACTTGTAAATCTCACCCCAGTGTGAAATTCTTTTGTAAAGATCTTCATTCTACAATGCCTAGAAAAGCTTCACTGCTCATGTACCAACTTCTTGATATTAACATTATTTACCATTGCATTTTCTTGGGCAATGCCATTAGTGCAGTTCTTTAATTTACTAATTTTCCTTAGATAGGTGATCCAGTTCAATTACCAGCTACTGTAATTTCGCCTGTTGCTGAGAAACTTGGGTAAAACACTTAATAATGTGCTTAAGTAACTTTATCTTCTATCCCTGTATTTTTCTCTCATACACTTCTTAATTTTGAAGCTATGGCACAAGCTTGTTCAAGAGATTTCAGAGGGCTGGTTATCCTGTAAAGATGCTTAAGACCCAGTATCGTATGCATCCTGAGGTAAGAAAATAAATGAATATTGATATTACTTATCCAAAGGAACAAATTCATATAAGTTATGTTAACTAATTATTTGTTGAGCTATAATTCCTTTTAACAACTAAAATATCGGTGATATTAAAGATGTCAATGGATATGTGATAGCGGTAGATATACCCTATTTGGTGCAATGAGACGGCAGATTATAGATACTTGGATATGCTGTGCTGAATTGCATCCACTTATTTAGCAGCTTTATGTCTTAAAAGATTGTTAGTGTTTATTAATGGTTCCAGCTCTAATTAATGATGCTTCTTTTGCATCATGTGGTTGTATGTTAAGGATTAAGACAGTTACATAATCCGGCTGCGACTTAAGCTTTTATGAGTTGCTTTGTACAATGTGTTGTCTTCGATTAGATAATCTATTATTAGCATGATACATGGAATCTAATCTATTTGTTGAACAGATAAGAAGCTTCCCTTCAAAGGAGTTCTATGATGAAGCATTAGAAGATGGATCAGATGTTCAAGATCAAACTACTCGTGAATGGCACAAATACCGCTATTTTGGACCATTTTGCTTTTTCGATATACATGAAGGGAAAGAATCACAACCCTCCGGAAGTGGGTCCTGGGTAAATACTGATGAGATTGAGTTTGTTCTTGCCATGTATAATAAGTTGATAACCATGTACCCAGCACTTAAGCTCTCAATTTGCAATTATAAGCCCTTATAGACATCAAGTCAAGCTTTTACAAGAGAAATTTCAGGAAATGTTTGGGGTTGAGTCAAAAAAGGTTGCGGATATCGGTACCATTGACGGTTTCCAGGTAATACTCTTGTTCTCTTATTGAAATAGAAAAGCTTTTCATGCACTTACACGTCCGGTTTCCAGGTAAATATCCAACATACTAGATCTAAGATAAATGCACTCTCTGTTTTTCTTTTCAGGGACGGGAAAAGGATGTAATATTTTCTTGTGTTAGGGCGAGCAAAGATAGAGGCATAGGCTTTGTGGCTGATTTTCGGCGAATGAACGTCGGGATCACCCGAGCAAAGTCTTCTGTACTGGTACTATGATATAACGAGTCTATTTGAATTTGAAGTTTGGATGAATCATTTACTTAACAGATTTAGTTGTTTCTGCAGGTTGTAGGTTCAGCATCAACACTGAAGAGGGATGAGCATTGGAGCAACCTAGTAGAAAGTGCCGAGAAGCGAGACTGTCTCTTTAAGGTGGTAGTCTTTTCACTGAACTACTTAACAGACGATATATCAATTCAGTTAGTTCATTGAACTCCTAAGTTAGTAGTCAGATTGTCGGATAAAGTATGGGTTGGTTTGGTAAGCTGATTTTTCAATCATTTACCCGAATCGACTGATTGCTCTCCCTTTTGGGGCAAATGGTTAGGTTGAAATGAATGCATTTGAAAATATTGCTAAGAAATACCCTGGGCAGGTAGGGAAGCCATATGCATCATTCTTGAATGATGAATATCTGGAGTCGATGAAGGCTGTTACCAAGGATGCACAAATGGTGGATGAAATGGACAATGAGGAAACTAATGTGCCCTACAATGCGGGTGGAGATGCCGATCAAGCACCGGTGGAAGACAATGACTATGGAGAAGGATACGGAGATGGAGACGTGGGGGGTATGATGATGACTAAACACAATTTTCAGAAAAAAATGGTAAAAGTTTTGTTGACCCATAGAAATTTAAATCAGAGACTGTTATTTAATTGTTATACAAGGCTAATTTGGTTTTCTGCTTCCATTTCATGGTTGGCCATATTAAATAATACTATAAATCTTATTGTACGATGGTGAAAATAAGTATATATATATATATATATATATATATATGAGTTGTGATATACTTACACGTAGTGTAAAGTTTTTAATTTTGCACTTTTTTTATAATCGTTTGATGAAAGAAATTAAAGGTTGAGATTAACTATTTTATTTTCTAGTGAATATCTTAATATTTTCTACCGTTAATAGCAATCTTAGATTTTCCTTATCTAATAATCATAAAAAGGTATAAAATTAAATTTTTTACACTAAGTGTAAGTAGATCATATCCCTATATATATTGGTTAGAGAGTTGTTTCAATTAAAATAAATTAATATCATATAATTATAAATAATTATATTTATATTTAAACAAATATATTTAATTTCTCTCGATTCTGATTTAACTAAAAAATAAATAAAATTTAAGCAATAAAAAATTATTTATAAACATCAACTTAAATTTCTTTTTCACTTCACTCGATTGAAATATGCACTTTTACAGGTATATAATCCGATAAAAGAGTTTATATTACTAAAAATATTATTTCTTTTTTTATATTCAATGTTTACTTTCACATGTGCACATCTTTTGTCTCGACATTTGCCTTAAAATGTATCTTGGAGCCTTTGAAATGCTCTTGAAGCGGGATTAAAAATATACCATTTGTCCTTAATTGGTTAAAAAAAGTAAAAAATCAAGCTGGTGATTTTCTAATCTCATGTTGAAAATCTGAAGGCTTTATAACATCTGGTAGTTGCTGTGATAGTTTAATCAGATTCCAGAAGAAGGGAATGGGTTCCCACAAGGCAAGAATACCACAGAGAAAGATACTTGTGGCAGTTGGATTAATATTAGGATCAACCCACTGCACATGCTAACTTTACAATTTCCTCTTCCTTCAAACCGAAGAACCGATACAAAAAAAAAAAAAAAAGCAAAAACCTTGGGTTTGTAAGGGTGTGGCGGGGAGACACCAAAATTTGATCCTTTTTTCCCATTTAGAATCTTCTTTGCCTAAGCTTTTACTTTTGCAATACTCGAACCATGTGAAGTGATTCTCTGCCTCTTTCTCTCCCCCTTGAATCCCGGCTCCCCCCCCCCCCTTCAATGCTTTTTTAACTCAGATCCATTCGTGGATAAGAGAACAATGAAAGAAAATTAAATATCCCTTTTTTCAACCAATGTGAAAATAGTAAGAAAAACTCTTGGAGGTTTAGGGCTTTAAACACTCAATCCATCAAATCCACATTGCTTGTATGTAAGTGACTGCTTCCTTGGACTAATCACTATTGCACAATCCACCGATACCTGCCCATTCCAACACAAAAATATTTCAGCAAAACGAAAATCACAACATATATATCATCATCAATGTAGTAGTAATCTGACCAAAAAACGATTGAATGTCCAAAAATGTCATGAACATGATATGATATGATGCTATGCTTCCCCATTAGAGCGCATGCGGAGAGATCACATGACAATTATGAAAGTATAGATTTAAGGTCCATGAACATGGGTCCCTATACCATACATGAGATGGAAAAGCACCTACTTCGTGGCTAAGCAATGTTGAGTGAGATTCCAAGAAGGTTCCATAATGCATGCTTATGTTACCCGAGATCTTCGAGCGCATATTCAAGCATGAATATAATGATATAATTCGGTTTAAGTCCCAATTTCAGGTATCCAGAAGGGGGTTGATCAAGTCGGGTTAAACCCCGTTTTGGGGGACAAATTCACTCTATATTGTTTTTCATCCACAAGGCTTATCACTAGACATAACTTAATCTCGACTACTATACGTATAAGACGAGATTTCCGAGCACTATTGAATTCTGGAAGAGGATTGGGGTTAAAAAAAAAACTTGTGGATCACACAATAAAAGAAATTCATGGGAGGTGGATCCCACTGTTGCAGAGAAGGAAGTCAAGTGGGTCCAAGTGATAGCCCACCATTTACCCAAAATCACATGGCGAAGAAACCAGCAACAAAACAAAAAGCTTCTCATTTCTACCCCCGTTAAATAATTAAAGGGTATATACATCATAGCCCACCGAACTATAATCAAATGATCGTTTTGGTTACTAACATTTCAAAAGTTATATAATGGTTATTAAATTTATCAAACTGTTACTAAATGATCATGGAAACTTTACATAAGTGTAAAATGTTGATAAATTTAATGAAAATTTTATAATTTTTAAAAGTTCAATGGAGAAAATGATCACTTGGATATAGTTCAATAACACTTGATGTACTTTGCCCTTAAAATTAAACCACATTTATTATTTTATTCCACTCCTACAGCAACAACATCACAATTTAAAAATCCCAAAAAAGAATAATCCTAAATCCGAAATGATAGATAAATAAATCCCAGAAACCAATGGATTGATTTGTTTGATTTTAAGAAATATATATGCATAGATTCATGGTCAACTATTGCATGAAAATAAAGCTAGCCGCACGATAGCCAAATGCCATTGGTGCGTGCCATAAAAGCGCGTGAGAAGCAAGTAAAAATTATTGCCCTTATTAAAAGTTAAACATACCTTTAATCGTCTTCTAATACGTGTCCTAAGACAATCAATTAGTCAAATATCAATGAAAAAATGCATCGAGAACTAAGTACATTCCCTAAGACAATGACCGCCAAATGACAATTCTATCCCCAAATGAACCAGAAATTCAAAGAATTATTGGAGGTAAAAATATTCTTTACCGTGTCTTAAATTCGACTTTTGTAGATAAAATAATAATATTAAAAAAAAGTAACTCGATTTATATGGCTATTGGAAATCGAAAAAAATTAGACAAAGGAAAGTATCCAAGGAAGAAAAACATCCCCTACCGTAACGGGTGCAAGTTAGCATGGATAACAAAGCAAAGACGAGTGGAAGTTGGTAGGAAAAAAAAACAACAGAGCCCAAAAAAGTTGAAAATGACATCTAGAGGGGATGGCGGTGGCTATAAGCCAGCTACCACCGACCGACCGAGCGCCACCCCTTGCGGTGCTTTCAAACAGGTTGAAAATGTAATTCTAAACTTAATGGAGGACAATGGTGTAATTAGAAATGAGGTTAAATTGTTTCTAAAAGAAGAGAAGTTGAAGACGTGACCTGAACGCCGGGGGAATCGAAGTCCATCACACGGATCTTGGCGCCAACATCACCCAAAACCCGGAGCTCGACACGGTCGTTAAGCGAAGCATCTCTGATCAAATCAGCTGCATCAGCTTGCATCAAGTTAGCTCGATCGACGGCGATGGTTGCATCCACGGTTCTGGTGCTGTGAGCTTCTTGGTAAAACCCGGGGACCGAAGCTTTCCCCAAAGGAATCCCGCGGTACATGACGGTGAACCGGGATTCCCCGTACTTGATCCCTACTTTATTGGGATTCACCGCCGTGAAAATCATGCGGATGGTCAGAGACAAAGAGGCGGTCGTCGGGGTGGTCGCGACGGAGGTGGCGGTGCCGTCGAAAGAGGAAGGATTGGATGTGGAAATGCCCATGTATTGAACACCTACTTGTTGGAGATCGAACTGGGGCTTCTTGGGCTTAACGGCGAGGACTATTACGAGGACGACGGCGAGCACTAGAAGGGCTAAGAAGGAAAAGAGAAGGAAGAGGCAGCAACAACAGCCTTTGAAAGAGGCGGAGGAAGAGGAAGAACGGTGAGGATAGTAAGTGTGGTGGCGTTGGAGAGGTGGGGCGGTGATAGAGTTGTGGTGGTCGCCGTTGGCGGTGGATGAACGCGTTTCTGGGGCATGGTTTCGATGGGCGTTAGGTGGCATTTTTGTGCTGCTTTTCAAAGGGAAAAAGAAGAAGAAAAAGCCTCCCTCTCTCACTCAGTGACTCGGTATCTCTCTCGATAACTCTATGGAGCTACAGTGGTTTATTACTTTGAGGGAGATTGAGAGAGAGGGAGGGAACCCAAGAAAATTCGGTGCTTTTTCATCCGTTCTTTTTAGTGACTTCTTGCTGGTAGAGCCACTCTTGTGTAGACTATAATAAACAAGTCGAGTTTTAATTCTGCCTTCCATCCCTGTATTGTTTTAGAATTTGAAATATTATCCCCTATTTTATTATTTTGGTATGAAACCCTGGTATCTGGTATTCACATGAGATCAATTTTCGGTTTAATCCAAAAATGTTCCTAAATCGGTTGATTTGGTTAAAATTATATCTGCTTAGTTAGCTATTTCGATAATAATAATTTCTCACCCCTAATCTATAGTTAAGTCGAGTTAGAGTCCTAAACTAGATGTAAGGTCCTCTTAACATCCACCCCACTTGTTTAAGAGATGTCCATGTTATTATAGCATCACCTAACAAGTGTAGGTCCTTCTATTTTAACTTCTAGGAATGTATATCTTCTATTTCTTTGATTTAAAAAATTATGTTTTAATCTATAATATTGTTAATAGACTTTCATTAAATATATAATATTCTAGCTTTTGAATGTTTAGTTTAAAATGCAAAACCTTACTGATCAATGACATGATCGTCATTCTTACAAGTTTTGGGTTCAATTATGTCGTTTGCAGGGATATTTGAGTGTTCATCGTCGTCAAATGATTGAGATTTTTTCAACAAATATTACCTTATAGTTATCATAGACTAATGAAAATCAAATTCGAAGTTCGCAACACATTTAAAATTAGTGGAAGCCAATTAACATGCTTATAAATTTAATTTTAATCTTTAATAAATTAATTGTAGTCCATTAAATTATGATTCTTATTCTAAATTAATCTTTAAAATTTTAATTATTTTCATTTCACTCCTAAATTTTGACTTTCATTCTAAATTAGTCCTTAATTTTTTTAACATTTCAATTTCATCCAAAACTATCCGTATATACTAATCTCAACCCTTTTAATAAAGAGAAAATAACCTCAGTGACCAAAAATCCCAGATAATATACGATTTTGACCAACTTTTTTTGGATTTGCGAAAATGACCAACAAAATCGCAATGCGATCTCTAATTCGCATTGCGATCTCCACTATCGCAAATTCACGTTGCATTTCGCATTGCGATAGTTGAAAATCGCGTTGCGTTTTTCCATTTCGCGTTGCGATAGTTGAAAATCGCGTTGCGATTTTCCATTTTGCGTTGCGATAGTTGAAAATCGCGTTGCGATTTTCCATTTCGCGTTGCGATAGTCTACAGTCGCGTTGCGATTTTCCATTTCGCGTTGCGATAGTTGAAATTCGCGTTGCGATTTTTCATTTCGCGTTGCGATAGTCTACAGTTGTCGTTGCGATTTTCCAAATTCGTTATGATAGTTAAAAAAAAGATTTTGTTTCTTAAGAATTTTCTATAAAAAGATAGTATCCGCGCGGACGTGTCAAAGACACGTATTACCACGACCACGACCACGACCACGACCACGACCACGACCACGACCCGACCCGACCCGACCCGAGACGAGACGGACGGCGGCGGCGGCGCGCGAGAGTCCCTCTTGTTCTCTATCACTCAACAAGGAAGTGGGAAAGACAAGCCTTAAATACCATTCCCAATAGTGTTTCCAATACTATGTGGGATTTGAGCATTACCAACACTTATTCCCAATACTATGTGGGATTGAGCCTTAAATAGTGATATTATTTTTGAATGTTTTGCTTAAAATTACAATAATCGCGATTGATTGTAGATTGACTTTTAATTATGACATATTTAATCGTATAATACTAATGTAATTGGTTGTTGATTCAGTTATTTTAAGGTGCATGATTGTTAATTGTTTCCTGAATAATCACATTGTATTGGAAACAAGTGTTGGTAATGCTCAATCCCACATTGTATTAGAAACACTATTGGGAATGGTATTTAAGGCTTGGCTTTCCCACTTCATTGTTGAGTAATAGAGAACAAGGGGGACTCTCGCGCACCGCCGCCGCCGTCCGTCTCGTCTCGGGTCGGGTCGGGTCGTGGTCGTGGTCGTGGTCGTGGTCGTGGTCGTGGTAATGGTAATGGTAATGGTAATACGTGTCTTCGACACGTCCGCGCGTATACTATCTTTTTAGAGAAAATTCTTAAGAAACAAAATCTTTTTTTTTAACTATCACAACGAATTTGGAAAATCGCAACGACAACTGTAGACTATCGCAACGCGAAATGGAAAATCGCAACGCGAATTTCAACTATCGCAACGCGAAATGGAAAATCGCAACGCGAAATGGAAAATCGCAACGCGATTTTCAACTATCGCAACGCGAAATGGAAAACCACAACGCGATTTTCAACTATCGCAACGCGAAATGCAACGCGAATTTGCGATGATGGAGATCGCGTTGCGATTTCAACTATCGCAACGCGAAATGGAAAATCGCAACGCGATCTCCAACTATCGCAACGCGAAATGGAAAAACGCAACGCGATTTTCAACTATCGCAATGCGAAATGCAACGTGAATTTGCGATAGTGGAGATCGCAATGCGAATTAGAGATCGCATTGCGATTTTGTTGGTCATTTTCGCAAATCCAAAAAAAGTTGGTCAAAATCGTATATTATCTAAGATTTTTTGTCACTGAGGTTATTTTCTCTTTAATAAAATAGTTAGGTCAAGCTAAACTATTATATGTTTGAAAAAAATAGGTTAAATAATTGTGGAAACTAATTACTTATTGGATGAATTTGAGGATGAAATTGAAAGATTCGATAGTTTGTGAAATAATTTAAAATGATGATCATAACTTAAGGATAAAATTAGAATGTTCAAAAGTTTGAAAATTAGTTTAATATAGAGTCCTAGTTTAAAATTAAAATATTCAAAAAAAATTAATAATTCAAAATAAGAAACATAATTTGAATACAAGCTATACAATTAATTTATTTTTAAATTAACAAATAAATAGACCAAATTTCCAGAATTAAAGACCAATTTCACTCCATTTTAAAACTTCAAAAAAAAAAAAATAGAGGGACCAGTGACAGTCATAAATAAATAATGCATGAATTAATGGGATATGTCATGAAATTTTCTTTTTCTTTGTTTGGTTACATCTATCAATAGAACAAACTAAAGGTTGAAGCTCGATTGAACACTATTTATTGCAACTTCTATAAAGTTTACAGGTTTTGGTGTTTTTTTTAAGACAAGGCAACTAATCTTTATTAAAAAAATATTTAAAATTATAATAAAGATTTATAATTATTATAATAAATCAAATACATAAATAGGATATTTTCCTATAGCAGTGAAACTAATTACTTTAAATCATAGAAGGACCTTACACGAAAAAGATAAAAAAAATCAACCAAATGACTAAAACGAAAAAATAGATATGAATAAATCTGATTGTATCAGTAAATGAACCATAAAATGTGATTAACCTATTGAAAGACCATCGAAAACCACAAATCTAAGCGGACATTGCGAGAAACTATTTACGAACGTAAAATTACGTATCTAAATTCAATCTGAGGATTCATAAGAGGGATGATCAACATGATTACTAATAAACGTCATCTTGATTGGTCGTGACATTGCCAAATTCATCTATGAGAAAATATCAAATGAAAAGACCGATCCAATGACGAAAAAAATTAATATTTTAAAAATAAAATTTGAATTATAAAATAAATCTACTAATTTAATTAATTTGAAATTTTTTAAGTCAATTTTTTAGTTACATCATTAATAAGGATTTACTCTGAAATCCAAAATTAGATGTCTTTTTTTTTTTCATTAACCGGATATGTATTACATTTCCAATATAAATTACAAGATTTTCTTTGGAATTAGTTAAAATATTATTACCATCTCTGCCTTATAATAATAAGAGTTAGGATTCGAGTTTTTTAAGAGTGAAATTTTAGTTGAAAATGAGTTATTTAAGAATGTTTTTTACGTGTTAAACGAAATTTTGTGCCAAAAAGTAATTCGATAAGTATTTCCAAAGGACCCCTAACTGCATTACATGTTTTTAGAACTATAAATGATATTCTAAATCAATTTTTTAATCTTTTTTAACATTTAAAAATTATCCTTAGTCTTATTAAATTTTTAAATATTCTAATTCTTTAAACTTTTAAATAATTAAGGCGAATAGTTTTATTATATCATTATTATTTAATTTCAACATTTTCTTCCTAAAGACAGAAACAAATATATCCCTAACTAATCACAAACTTTTTTTTATTAAGATTTGAACTAATTAAATAAAATCTGAGCAGTAGATCAAAATGTAAGATGTTTTATTGAAGAAATGGAATTCCTGCAGCATACATATTACATAGTAAAAACCAGGAAATGTTGGAGTACATCATCTACCTATATCTCCATGCAAGGAGAGGGACAGGGACCAAAAAGGAAGAAAAGGAAAATTGGAATAACATACGATGAACATTTCCTGTAACAGTTCCCAACATGTCGAAAACGCTGCCTGATCACATGTCGGATATAAGTGGAAGTGCTTAGCAAGCCTTGCCTTTTATGCAGTTGAGTGCGCCGGAATCCTTTGTCAGTAACGGCGCAATTTTACCAGGCTGGTATGCAAGCATTACGTCGCCGCCGTATTTCTTGGTCACCCACGAACTGCCGGACTCGACGAAGAAGGCACCATTGTCGAACTGATCACCTTGGGTTATCCAGTTCCAGTTCTTCCACTCCGATTCCGGGGAGTAATCTCTTTTGGTGACTTCTTTGTTTACTGTTTCCGATGAGGCGGAGTAGCGGTTGCCCTGGCTGACGTAGGTAGGGTGGCTGCTGCCGCCGATGGCGTACATCAGCCAGTGGGTGTAGTCGTTGTTTACAACATGGATGAAACCGAATCGGCTTCTCGGCATTCTCTGGACCAACCCTTTTCCGAAGTGGTTCAACGCGACGGTGATCTGCATCTTCTCGTCGAGGTCGTACGAGTCGTGTGCTCCGAACAACATCACGTCGTTGTGATCGGTGAAATGGCAGTTTGAAATGGTGATGGCGC